ATTCAAGCCCAAAATGTCGATTTCTAGGTGTTTCAAAGCCAATACCAAGTCCAACTAGCAAATGGAGGCCAAACTCTCACTTTGGAGAGTCTTTAAGGTGTGTGCGGCCGTACACCTTCAAGTGATAAAGAACACGAAGAACATGAAGAGTTTTAGGCTTAGATCAAGGTGTCTTACCAGTATAACAAGTTGAATGATGGAGTACTTCACGTTTTTGAGGCCCTTAGAGTGTTCTTGGATGAAGTTTCTAGAGAGAGAAAGTAGTGTGCAGCCAAGAGGGTAAAAGAGTGAATGAAAGGGTCTCCTCCTTTATATATAGGAGGGTGTACGGTTGAGGGGTGGGTGTGCGGCCGCACACCCATGTGTACGGCCGTACACTCCTCCCGAGGGGGTGTATGGCCCGAATGTTGAACTATGACTTGGTATTTCTCGACCTAGGACCCAAACTTTGATTGTACGAGGCTTAGAACGATTTATCAAACCCTTAAACGACGTTAAAAGGTGATAAAATCGAGTTTAATATTGATATAAAGATCAATTGTACAGGATAAAGGTTCCGGGTTGTCACACTTTTGTAACACCCCGACTCCCATATATATTTTCAAAAAGCTTTATATTCATTTTATTGAAGGAACTCGATGAGTTGGATGCCCTAACTCGTCGTGTCAAAGCTAGTCAGTCCGCGTGATTTATGACTTCTACTCGACGTGTCGGAGGACCCCAACTCGACGAGTAGAGATTGTGCATAGAAACCCTAAATTTTAGGGTTTGCACCCTATTTAAATAACTTATGGGCCGCTCCTAGCCTCCCTCATAGTCACTGCAGCCAGAGGAAACCCTATATCGAGTCCTAAACCACCCATTGTGTGTGTTGAGAGCTTGAAAGACGTTATTTGTTGATTTTGGAAGGGAAACTTGAAGAGTGAGGAGCTTGGATCAAAAAGGAGGAAGTGGATCTGTCATCTACTTCGTTTTGGAAACCAATCTGAGGTATAAAGCTAATACCTTGACCCTTTCAAGCTTAGATCTTCTTCTATGGACATTTATGGTCATTTTTGGGGTTTAATGGAGCCACTCTTGGGTTTGAGCTTGTCATAAGGACATGGTCTCAGATCTGGACTCCTCTAGGCCCCAAAATCATAAAGTTATCAACTTTCTCTGGTATTGGCCTTTCCTCCATGCCCTAAACCTCATCTTAGACTTGGTTTTGGTGTTTTAAGCCTTTAAGACCTTGCATGCACGTAAAGTTTGCAACTTTACGTGGTAACTATGCCTTTAGGAAGCTAGATCTACATTTTGGAACGTTGGAATAGCTTAAGAACGTCTGAATAAGAAATGGACTGAAGGGACTCGACGAGTTGCATGGTCAACTCGACGAGTCAGATGAAGATTGGTCGTTTTTGGTTCTGCATGGACTCGGCGAGTCGGTGAGATGACTCGACGAGTTAGTTAGGGTTTTCCCGGCATTTGGACACCACATGGACTCGAAGAGTTGTCTGGAAACTCGGTGAGTCGACTAGGGTTTTCACGACTTCTTGGGTTCTGAAGGAACTCGACGAGTCAGTTAGCTACACTCGACGAGTTGGGTCAACATGGACTGTTGACCTTGACCGTTGACTTTGACTGTGACAAAGGGTTGACCAGTTTGACTTCTGGGGGTATTTTAGTAATTTGGAAATTTATGGAAATGGATTATTGGTGGATGTAGGTGTGTGTGTTTGGCGTCGTACTTGGGAAGTTTGACACTTATCATTCCGAGCTACTCGTGAGGTGAGTTTTCCTCACTATACTTAAGGGTCTAAGGCACCAAGGCCGACCCTTTAGATTGTTATCCTGTTTTGTTACTGTTATGATCTGTTAGATTAGTATCCTAGTAGATAGGATGTTTCTATGTGATTATGATCTGCTAAATCGGTATCCTGGTAGATAGGATGTTGCTATGCTTAGGGATCCGTAGATCAGCTTGATTGTCTGTAGACTGTTATGTGGTTATTTGATGTGGGTGCACATGTTTGATTGGTGGTTGAGGCATCTGCTTGAGCATGAGCCAACAGACCTGGGCATTCCAACCCGATGGTTGTGGGCCGAGAGTATTCCATCCCGAGGATGATTGGACTCTTAGTATGTGGGCATTCCAACCCGATGGTTGTGGGTCGAGGGTATACCATCCCGAGGATGATTGGACTCATAGTATGTTGGCATTCCAACCCGATGGTTGAGGGTTTGGGGCATTCCAACCCGATGGTTAATTGGGCCCATAGTATGCTGTTATTATATATGTGTTATATGTTGTGCGGGTATTTTGGGGGAACTTACTAAGCTTCGGGCTTACAGTTGTTGATTTTGTTTCAAGTACTTCAGACGATTGCGGGAAGGCGAATGCGTGATCGTGCACATCCTCATGTTTTTATAATATGATTTCTGGGATACTCTGACATGAAACTGTTTTGAAAACAATCTGTAATAATTATTTGGTTTTGAATGATTTAAAAAGTTTTAAATTGGCTTGAATTTTAAGGATGTTACACCTTTTTTACAGTTCCATCTACAAACCCTAATTTATTTCTAGCCTTAAGACTTATAATCATAGAGCTACGCCATACACAAAATTTTTTGGTCCCAGTTAATTTGAAATTTACAATTATAGTAACAGTATTATCAGATGGATGTATGTACAAAGGATCATCGTAGTTTACCGGATCAACCTTAGAACCACTACCAGACTCAGGAGGAGATGTAGAGTCAGTCATAGTGCAATCACAAAAAACAATCAAAAAGAACACAAGCTACTGTGATCCTTATGCGTCTAGATGGTCACCACGATATGTTGGGGCCCAAGACAAGAATCATAGAGTCAAAAAAATAATCATAGATATCAAATACCAACAAATAATAACTGATGTACTTAAGACAACCAGGATCTCCCACAACTACAGCTAGAAAAAGGGTAGAAGGGAACAAGAAACGCTCACAGAGCAAAAAGCCGGAGAACCAACACAGATCGACTCCTGTTACTCCGTTCTCTACAAGTGTTAACGGTGATGAAATCCGTTAACAAAAAGAGTTATTTCAGAGAACAGGATTGACCGATCGAAGAACTAATCCAAACTTGATTCGTCAATCAAGGATCTCCACTTGACAACGATTTGTCACTCAAGGATCTCCACTTGAAAACAAACCTGCAAGATCACACAAGAACTCGTAGTACCAGGATCTTAAGAAAAAAACAATAAACAAGACAACGTTTTCGATTTAGGAGAAATTCCAAAGGGAAAACCCTAGATCGGAAATGGAAGAACCCTAGATGTTCACAGATAGGCCAAATAAATATGGGATTTCAACAAAAACCTCAAGACTAACCAAATTGTGAAGATCTACAAGGATCTAACCAAACAACAAAAGAAAATAAGAAGTACCTTTCGACCTAGACGAACGTCAGATCACAGATGAACGTCGGAGCACAAAATCGGAGCCCTAAAGCTCTGATACCATGTGAAAAACGTAGAAACAAATATTCCCAACATCATCATCTATTATATCAATTTATGACAAATAGACAGATGGTTTTCAGGTACTTACACAAGAAATATTCACTACATAAAACCTAATCTACACTCAGTACAATCACTCAAACCTAATCTACTATGAAGATTAAGTAAAACTAAAGAACTCAGAAGCGAGTATACAAACCCTAACTTAACACAACGAAAGGAGAAAAAACGAGAGAAAAATGAGAATGATCTGAAACACTTGTGCTCGAATGAATCCAAATCAAACTGCAACCCATATTATATACTTCTGGTAACGGATCCTTCAAACCTGCGTGTCAACCCATATCAATATCACAAATATGCACCGCAACCCATAACTTTTTAATAATGTCACAGACAACCCAGACCACAAAATAAATATAAAAAACAATTTGAAACTATTTTATATTTAACCCTTGCAATATCGGCATATGTCAAGTTTGAACCAACACATACTTTTAACACATGTACACCATTATAATGCAAAGAAGAGTATTAACAGCATGAACATGTCAAAATGAATTTAACATGCATTAAATTTAATTACCCAATTCATAAGCTCATATTGCAGTTGACCAGTTAATTAGATTGATTAAAAATTTTATAAATTCATAATTATACCTGTTCATCACATTATATTTTAAGGAGTAAAATAAGAAAATTATGACAAGCCAAGATAATCTTGTTTAATGTGTAAAATCAAATATATGCATAAATTAATTAGGTGATTATCTCATAGAATTATAAACTATGCAGGTTAAATTAATCACACAAAGTCGTCAACCTTTTAGTATTGAGTAATTAAATGAAATAAGTCACAATAATTGGCAAAAAGTCAGAATAATAAAAAAACCCTTAAAATGCGAAATGTAATAAAAAGTTCAAAACATATTTACACAATCATTCACATTTTGAGGTCTGACCTAATCACTACAACAACGTTGGCTTTATTATTTAATTATAAAAACATTTTTTAAAGTTAAAGTTCAATATGGATTACTACCAAAAATAATAAGTGAAATTATAATTGCAATATATAAATAGATAATATAATTTAAAAGTTTACAAAAGTTATTTAAAAATATAACTTCCGTTTTTTAACCAAACTATAACTGATTTAAAAGTAGAACCGTTACAGACTATATAACCTTTTCACCATCCCCCAAATCATGACATTTGTTATTTTATTATGGAAATATTAACTACATGGATTAGTTATCACTATATGGAATAACCGAATAATATATGCAGTTTATTTTTGGTAAAAAATAAGGATTTATTAGAAGAACTTTAACATTAGTTGACCAACCAAGTTGAATTTTTTTTACTTTAGAAGTCTACAATCCATCAACTAATCACTACAATTTCTATTCTTTATTGTTTTCTTCATTTCTTGATTAATAAATTCGAATTCATTGAATTGAATGTTCTATAACCTAACATCATTAACAACAAATCAAACACGGGTCCAGCTAGGATTTCTCAGTTCATCAAAATAGTCTACTCCTCTCGCGTTTTTCAATCTTTGCTTCAAATCTGTCAAGTTTGAAGTTGAAGCACCAACACACTCTCTTCTCAGTTCTCTCTTCGCATTTTTTTATATGCAATCACTGAAAAGGTTTCGGGTTTATCATATTTCTTTCTCGAATAATGTAATCCTGGGATCAGATTTCTAGATTGCTGGTCTCGCCCTTTTCTCTTGATCTAAGATACGTACTACTCCGACATCTTTACTTATTTGATTTGCGTGTTCGTATCCGAAGAAAAATTATTTAATCGCATGAAATTACTGCAATTGTGAGTTGGATGGCTCAATTATCTGAACCCGAACGGTCTCCCAATGTTCAACAAAGGGGTTTTCGACTTCAAGCTCCACTGGTGAGTCCCGCTTCTTCTTTGACTTCTTCTTGCTTACAGCTTCTGTGTCTCGCGAGGATTTAGATGACGACACCCAGATGAAATGAACATTTTTTCCGGAATTGTTGACATTACATGTAAAATAGGTCGTCTGATTTCTCTCTTTACAGAATCATTTGGTTCATGAGCTGTATTTATAGATATCCAGATGAAATCGAATAGAATTTTCAAGAAATCTTGACATTACTCATTACTCATGGTGTGGGTTTTGTCTCTTTAAACTCAATTGTGGGGGATTTTGTTTTCATCAGAATTTGAGGATAAAAAGCTTATATCGAATGTAATTTGTTTTTGGATTTCTTGAGCATACCTATCTCCACTCAACCTAATGTCTGTTTCTGTGAGCTATGTGTACGATCTATCAGCCTAGTTTCGAATGTAAGAGCTTCAGTTTTGTTGTTTCTGTTTCCATCGCTACATGCTTGTCAGCGAAGACATCAGACTTTAGGTCTTTTTCATAAATCATCGATTAGGCTCTATTCTTGATGTTTTTTGTTAAATCTGCCGAATTAATTTGGTTACTAACATCGAGAAATGATTCAGGTAGAGTCTGTTTCATGCTACTGTAGAGTCGATGCAGGCTTAAAAACAGTAGCAGGTGCCAGAAAATTTGTCCCCGGATCAAAACTCTGCATCCAACCCGACATCAACCCACGAGCACACAAGTCCAAAAACAGTCGCAGGGAAAGAACCAGGGTCCAACCCCCTCTCCTCCCTGGTCTCCCAGACGACCTAGCCATCGCGTGCCTAATCCGGGTCCCACGAGCCGAACACAACAAGCTCCGATTAGTCTGCAAAAGATGGTTCAGACTCCTCTCAGGTAACTACTTCTATTCCCTTAGAAAAAGCTTAGGAATGGCAGAAGAATGGGTGTATGTGTTCAAAAGAGATCGTGATGGGCGTATTTCTTGGCATGCATTCGACCCCACCTACCAACTATGGCAGCCCCTGCCACCTGTCCCGGTGGAATACGGGTCGGCCCTCGGGTTCGGTTGTGCGGTTCTTAGCGGGTGTCATCTTTATCTCTTTGGTGGTAAAGACCCGATTAAGGGTTCCATGAGACGTGTTGTTTTCTATAGTGCAAGAACAAATAAATGGCATAGAGCTCCTGATATGCTTAGAAAAAGGCAGTTTTTTGGAGCTTGTGTGATAAACAACTGTCTTTATGTAGCGGGTGGTGAATGTGAGGGGATTCATAGGACGCTTAGGTCAGCAGAAGTTTATGATCCGAATAAACACAGATGGAACTTTATATCGGATATGAGCACTGCTATGGTGCCATTTATAGGTGTGGTTCATAATGGGAAGTGGTTCTTGAAGGGGATCGGGGGCCCACCGGGAGGTTTTGAGTGAAGCGTATACCCCGGAATCGAATACATGGGAGTCTGTCACGAATGGGATGATTGGTGGTTGGCGGAACCCTAGTATTTCCATGAATGGAAAGCTTTATGCTTTGGATTGCCGCGATGGGTGTAAGATTAGGGTTTATGAAGAGGATACGAATTCTTGGAAAAGGTTTATTGATAGTAAGGTTCATTTAGGGAGTTCACGTGCTTTGGAGGCTGCAGCTCTTGTTTCATTGAATGGGAAGTTGTGTATTATTAGAAATAATATGAGTATTAGTCTGGTTGATATTTTGAGCCCTGATAAGCAAGTGGAGAGTAATCCTTACCTTTGGGAGAATATTGCTGGAAAAGGTCAGATGAAAACATTGCTTACGAATATTTGGTCAAGTTTATCGGGTAGAAATAGTCTCAAGAGCCACATTGTGCATTGTCAAGTGCTTCAAGCATGAAGAAACGTGTTTTCTGTTTGTGATGATGTTTTAGCAGTTGATTCAACGGCTGCAAATAAGAACACAAAGAGGAAAGTGAAGATGCCTTGTGAGTTGTAAGATAGGAAGAAGATGAGGAGGGGCATGGTGGTAATTGGCAAACTCAGAGATAAGTTAGGTCTTGTACAAATGGTGAGAAAGCAAGAAACTTTGAACTCATTTTGAGACTGTTTTGCCCTTTTGAGATATTGGTAGCATATTTATGAAATGAACTTTGTGTTGATTACAGATTTTTGACTTTCTAGTCTCGTAATTGTTATCTATGTAAATTCTGACAAGTGACAAGTGACATTTAAAACCATGATAAAAAGTTATATTATTGTCACTTCGGTTTAGGTAGAAGTTTGTAATGATAATAGATGTAGGCCTTTTAACTCAAACCTTTAACAAAATGTAGTCTAATGTCACGGACTTGATTTTTCAATCTTACTGTTATGGTACTTAGACCGTGACCAACTCTGTCCAATTTGATCAACCACATAAATCAAGTAAATGAAGCTACGAGGAACCTAAATGGATTAATGGAATACTGAAAGTGTTTTACAAATTAACGAGAGTATACAACAACGAATGTTTCAGATTCTCTGAGGCATATTTGTCTTGTAATATGTGAGTCATTACATTCTTCCTCATCTAAGCTCACGATGTCTTAATCATGTCAAGCGAATATAAGCTAGCATATTGTAATTTGTTGTTTGGTAAAAAATAAAAAGTAAATTATTGTAACTTATAAGCTAACTTTTGATAAGCTACTTTGAAATAGCTTTTAAGAAGCTTATAAAATTTCTCAAAAATATTCCAAATATGTCATTAATTATACCTGATGCTAGTTTTTAGTTTTATATCTAAATGTCTATTTATATCATTTTATATTAATTCATAAGTTAGACCAGCTAGTTTTTCAAATAGTCTGCTAAAAACAGACCTTAAACCACATGCGTAAGTGAAGAAATGTTTAGAAACAAATATACTTCGGTATGTAAGTTATATAGGTTTAACAAGAGGTGATGTCATCAATAGTTGCTTAAGATGAACTAAGAGGAGCTTCACGTGGAACAAGTATCTTTTGCATTGCAATAGCATTAGTTTTCAAAAGCAAGGTTTATCAATAATTATAATGACTATGTTTGAACATGAATAAAGTGTTAGCAATTCGAAAAGAAGGCTCGGGACAAGAGGTAAACCTTATGATAGCTAAGACTCGTGAATATTAAGAAATGACTTATTTATTTAGTTAGTAACAATCCCATAGGACTTCGAAGTGAACAAAAAAGATGGAATGTTTAAAGTACAAGTATCAAGTATGCTAATTATTTGTTTGAGAACCTTAATGGTTAACAATCACGTTTCTTGTTTATAGTTGTATGTGAACCATTTATTAATAAATGGTGGAATGGGGAAAGACAAGAAGTTAGTGCAAGTTTCATAAGAGAGTGACAATCAATCTTCATAACCGAAAATGGTGAAGTTGGTGGCAATGGAGGCAATGATAGTCATATACTAAGGTAACATAGATCTTATGTATACATGGGAACCAGTAATAGAACTATAAGATTATACATGGGAATATATAATAAAAAGGGAAGAGATCCTCTTAACGTATGGAATTATGGATTAATGATGAACTTAAACATGGACATGCAGAGAGTGCAAAACTGGGCCTCAAAGCAGATCTTAATGTTATGGCCCAAAATTATTGGTACGATTCAAGGAGCTAAGCCCACCTAATACTTGGATAATTCTAGATGCTTCTCTTAGTTTCCTTTGTAATCTCTAGAAGGTGTCCTTTTGTTTTGATGTCTATTTTTATTCCATGCAAGGCCAAGTCCCTTTCATCTTTTTTTGGGAGAAATAGAGTTATTAAGCACTCTCTAAGTATAAGAATCATCTCTTAGCATACTTGGTCCCAATATTAATTGCAAGTGCTTCAGGCCTCTTCTAACTCCCATTTTAAGGCTTACTCGACTACAGAGTATTTGATAACAAGATTATTGAGTGTCACACGCACGAGAAATGGGCCCTGTCACAAGTGGTGTAAGAGCCTTGTTCAAAATTTTAACTTTAAAGTAAAATGTAGCACGATGATAGGCAGAGCAAGGTACAAGATGAACATGTATGTGGGCGAGAACAATCCCCACCAAAAGACAAGTTCAAACGGTCCAAGTTAGAAGCAAATCACGACCTCATATAGGTATATCCATTGAAGTAATGGAGCCTTACATTTCCCAATTTGAGCTTTTTGTAGATGGACTCAAGGCTTACAGATGAGGGACGTAAAAGAAACAATCGAGCTACCTAGGTCTCCAAAGCAATAACATCAAGTAAAGTCTATTGTGCATCTTTCCTAGGGTTTAAAGTCCTTAAATCTGCTATGTTCAATAGCACAAGAAAACGAACATCATATGGAAGAAAGAAACAAAGGAACCACGTCTCCAAGACGAGAGATATACAAATCAAGACCATCAAAATCGTCGAAACCATGCTTCATATATGGTGAGATAGTTAGATTTAGTATTTTTGAACCAAATCAAGTCGAAGTCATCAATAATATGTTTCATATGCGACAAGGTGCATTGGACACAACATTGTGCACAAAAGAAAGCCATGAGTACCTTGGTATAGAAAATGAAGGATAAACACGAGGAAGAAGAACAAGTGCACATGGATACGATGCAATACCTTGGAGCTTTGACTAAGGTCATTCCCAAGAAGGAAAAATAATACCCATGGCTATTGTTTGCCAACCTTATGATCAATGATATGATACACCGAGTATTGATTCACATGGTGGCTTCATATAACTTCTTGGATGTTAAGCCAAAAGATTGGGCATTCACTACACACCAAGTTACAACACTATTGAGGTAGTGAAATCAAAATCAAGTTGAATCATCGGTACCACCAAGACAAATGTACATTCACTAGTACACGTGGATGACTTCAAGATCATATTGGGAATGACTTTCCATGAAGCCAATACCTTCCCGATCCAAAGAGTTATTCCCTAGTAATCATTGATGGTAACAAAATGCGGGTGGTTGAGTTGATGAAAAAAATTGTAAGGCTTCAATCTCGTTCCTACAATACCTAAGAGAATATTGGAACAAATCGTCACAACCAACAAGAGATATCACCAATTGTGGGATGATGCTAACTCAAAAAGGAAGACCAATAGAAGACATTCCAAGACCAAAAATAATCAAGGCATAGAAGGAAGATACAATGAAGACTTCTTCGGCATTTGAAACATGAGAGTTACAACCGAAGTTTAGTCGCGATGAGGACGTCACATAATCAAGTATGGGAGGGTGTTACCGCACAAAGGTCTTCGCCCGATCATAAGGGCTAAACCCACCCAACACTTAGATAATTCTAAATATATCTCTTAGTTTCCCCGGTAATCTCTAGAATGTGTCAATTTGTTTTCAATTTTGTGTGTATCCCGTGTAAGGTCGTCTATATAGGGTCAAGTCCCTTCTATTTCTACTCATGAATGTATCATCAGAAGCATATACACTAAACGTTTTATTTTATAAGTGATTAAAATCAGTTACCTTTTTAAATATTATATCAAGTACCACATGTATCCGTTGACCAAACAAAAAAGCAAAGTTACTTTATTAAATATTCTATCAAGTACCACACACAAGTGTTGAACCAAACAATTTGAAAGCAATAGGATTACTATTGCTTCATCATTTGCCAACTAATTGGACTTATTTAATGATTTATTACCCAAATATAAGAAAGTAGGAAATGTGTTTAGCGGAATAAATCTCACAAGTTAAAGAGACGTCACTTTGTAATCGTTTAAACCTTGTCAAGCTGTGTGTTATCAAAATTCAAAACGCTCCTTGCGTGATATGGCTTGTCTTGGGTCCTTTGCAGCCATCAAGTCGGACATGATTTTTGGATGTTACACTTGTCCCCAGAAATCAATATCATCAGCAATGCATACATCCACTCTAATTTTGAATCACGCACCATTTGCAACATAAAGAAAATAGGTAAACCACAACACAATATTATTCATGAGTGGCTAATACAAGGGTACATATGACATAGTGGAAAACTAATACGATATGATATCTAACACAATATTATACACTTCTTAGAACACATTCCCAAACTTTTAACACCATTTTACTCATACAAGAGGCTCAACGAGGCTCAACCATTGGCGCAGCCTAGTGGCTTCTGACCTTCAAAAAGACAGGATACTAATATGCCTCTTATTATCATCAAACCTTTAAAGGTCTTGTATCTACTCCGTGATCAGCATTTCAACCTCATCAACAGTCATAGGAAGCTGTAAACAAGAATTGATTATAGACAAAATATTAGTAGTCATTACGCAATCATCAAGATCAGTGACAATTTTGCCCCTGTATAGTGGACCTTGGTTAGTAAATAGTAACATAGACAACGAACTTATCAACAACAGAATGAATGATCTTATAAACTTTGCCCCTGTGCTGTGTGTTAGGTAAACCAGACATGTATCCACATCGGAACAATTAGATCATCCAACAAACCTAAGAAGTGTGAAACAAGGTTTGTTTTTGCATTCAAGAACTGTATGTTCTTTTAGGAAAGTATCGATCCCTATAAATATAGGGATAGATTTGCTCACTACAATGAATAATGGAGTTGATTTAACATTAATAGCCAAATCAACAACACTGGATCTCAAACATAAAAAAGTAAAAGAGTAATCATGTTCTTCTGTAACTAAGAAGCTAGTAAACAATACCTGAGAGATAGGATTGGATGATTGAGCGCAAGCAACAAGGGCGTTATCTGTACAAGAGTGGACCGTCTCAAACTGATCGATGTCAAGTTTCTTATTAATAAACCCAACAGTGAAGTAGATATTATCGGAACTTGGCAAGTCAACCCTAATTTCATCAACATCGAACCAGAAAAACAACCTCTTCACTTGGATCCCATCCAAATCAGTAATTGATCCGACGTTGAGCTTCCCAGTGATCTTACTGTCATAGTACACAAGGTAATCGAACTGGATATAGCAAGGTTTCTGTAGTTCGACAACGAAACTTCCATCGTCGGGGGAGAAAGAGTAAGACTTGACGGAATCGGGCAGAAGGCCAGTGGGGAGGCCATATTTGTCGAGGATATCGTAGACCGTGGGTGTTGGGTCGTCGGAGAGTGCGGTGGTTGAGGAGACGACTGCGAGCAGAGTTAGGATTAGGAGGAGTAGGGTTTTGGTCGCCATTGTTGTGGATGTGATAAGAATCGGTGTTGGTAGTGTATTTAAGGGAAAGTGACGTTTTATGGGCAGGTTTTAATTGGGTGAGGAGGTTCGTTCTTACGGGATAGAGGCGTTAATTAGGCGTAGAGCAACCGCAGCGGCGACTCGTGGAAAGAAAATCAGTCCCACGTGCCGCGATCAACATGGCGGACCCCTTCGGGGCAGGGGTTTTTGGATGTATTGTATTCCATTATACGGTGCGGGTACCCATTTCTTAAGAAAATGTTAAAATAGGTCAAATTATACCAAAGCCATTATTAAATTATCAAACTTTTTTGTATATACTAGGTATGTTTTGAGGCCCGTGCTCATGGAGGGTAATATTGACATTTCGTTCACCATTGTAGAAAAAATCTTTGAAGAAATTCAAGTACATTGCTATTATGGGTGAAGAGTTTTATGTACATCGCCTTTAATAGTAAAGAAAAAATGTGTTATTGGTAAATAAATAAAAGTACATTGCTATTAAAGTTAAGAAATTGAAATTCGATCGTCTTTAAAAAGTATGTGCGATTGGAGGTGAAATATACAGCTCAATCGGTGGATGTTTTGGTGTGCAAAGTAAAGGTGAACATGAAACGGTGTAGAACAACGGTACATTGCGTCGGTCTTTAGGCAGTTTACGTGGCGTTATAGGAACATTATGAATCGATGGGTGTTTATATTTGCTCTCGATACGTTGGATGGTCATGCTAATCACGACCCACGAAGGGTAATTTAGACATTTTCTTCACTATTGTGTCTTGTGTCAAGACAGTTACAAATAAAATACAATGCCATAATACACAAATAGCTATCAAAAGAAACTCTTTGAGAAAGTACAATGCATTAAAAAGTAAAAAATATATTTGAATTGAAAATGCTATTAATTAAAAAGCTTTATAAAACTAAATGAAAGTAACATGCTATAATAAACGTCGGAATGAAAGGACATTGCTACATATACATTGATCTTCTAACTCACCAACATCATCTCACATAGTAGTTTTCTGGCATACACATGCACACTTGAGAGTAGTTTTTCTACCGGACAAAACATCTACTTTGGTCCCTGCATTTACATGTTCTGGTGCATTTTAAATCATAGGGATTTTTTTGATTAGATTTTATGTTACACAAACAATTAAATAAGGTAAAGATTATTAATATGTAATAAATATAAATGAAAGTTTTGTGTGAATTTAAATCACTAACAATTGAGTTGATATACAGAACCAATCACCAACATGGATCTAAATCAGCTTGATAGTTGGCTAAGTCCATGAATTTATAAACCATTCATATTAAAAAAATAGCACTTTGGATTTTTCTTTCCGCGGGTATGTTGGTGTAATGAAATGGCAACATACTTTAATTTTATTTTTATATTTCGTCACCTGGTATCCTGAAAAAGCAGTGTGCTTTTATTTTGTAAACCATAAAACGGTAGGAAGACAGTCCACACCCTCACAAAACCTAAAAAAACATCAAGTCATAATATTGGCATTGTTCTCTTCAAACTTATGCTAATCATTCCATAAATACTACTAAAGTTTATCATGGTTCAAAGCTTTTTATTTGGTTGTTTGTAATAATCTTCAATAAAGACAAAACAAAAGGACGCAAGTAAAAATCATTAGGTTTATTTGTATTTTGTAATGGAGGGAATCTAGAAAAATCTAAATTAGAACAAGCAAATATAGATAGCCATACAAACGACAAAATTTGAAGCATACCTTGGCCTAATAATCAATCTTCTTTCTATACTGTTAGAAATTTACAAATATATCGAGAAATTGAATTTAATACAAAAAAAATACTACATCAATGGAAATAAAAATTCGGAAATAAAACCCATGCCTTGGCTACGTAACTTGGCACTACCCACAAAACAAAACCATCATCATGAAAATTTCAATTCAATTAAAAAATACCTTAACATTGAAGTGAAACCCATGCCTATTGTTAAATGAGATTTCAAAATTCGGAAGGTTACAACCTTAATGATACTTTAAGTTCGTCACTGTGCAGAGAAGAAAAAATTAACACCCTTAAGCCTCAAATCTAAATTCTTTCCATCCAAAAGGGAATTCTAAGTATGCGAAGTACCATAATCATGTTTTTGATGTACACATTATGAAATAAAGATTAAAAGGTCATAAATTATGAATCCCATACAATGCACCAATCTTATTGGATGAAGAAGGCGAGTTTATCGAAAAATAGTTGCATATCATTGCCACAGTTCAGACCATTGTTAAATCTAAAAATCACAAGATCGTTATGATAAAATGAGTTCAAAATTACTACAATGATGATGATTGATGGCACCTAAAAAATCGTACCAGTTGTGACTTTTACAAAGCAAGCGACTTTTACAAAGCAAGCAATGCCAGGTAAGGATAGTAAAAGACAATCCACATGATTACCTACATGGACATAACTTTGGTTTAGGGTCTGTGTCAGTAGTGATAAAATAGCTAAACTTGTAAGCACATATTTCAAATAAAGACTTTCTAACCACACATGGTTTACCATTATCAACGTCTTCCAAAAATGAAGTTTATAAATCTAAATCCTGTAGACCTACATCTTTGTTGAGGGAAAGGAAACAAAATACAAAAATAGAAACTTGAATACAATTATGTATTTCAAAATGTTGGAGTTGAATTAAGAAAACTAACTTGGGTGGTGATGCTATTCAATTTCACATTCTGTGAGGAACAGAAAGATGAACGATAAGAAGGAAAAATGATAACCCTAGTTTCCGATGGAGGTTAAATCCCATTTCAAGACAACACCCAATAAGATAAAAAGGAAACAAAGATTGAGATAATTACCATATAAACCAGATAAATTGACCAGATCGATGAGTGTATGTGTGTGTATTCAATTTTACATAAAAACTTGGTATAAAAACAAAACATTGAAGAAAACGAGACATAAACAAGGTTTTGGCGGACTTACTATCAAGATGTTACTCGAAATCGTAAGTCTGATCCATGATTGTCTCTACAGAAATCCTTTGCTCTGTTTGCTGTAAAAAAGAACAAAATAAATGTTGTGAGATGAAAGTGATGGACAGAGAGAAAGAAGAAGCAGTTTTAGAAAAAGGCGTTATGTAGGGGTAGATGGCGGTTGCTGCTGCTAAACATGCAAAACGAAGAAGATGATGGCAGGACGATGGTTGAGGTATGTATAGACGAACCTTGAAATTTGGGTGATATCAACCATAAAACTGATTTCACATTAACTTTCTTTGAGAGATGTAGTATTGGTAGAGAGAAAGCAAAAGACCTTAAGGAACCCTAAATTATAATCAACGAATTCTAATAGGCAAAAGAAATGGAGAATTTCTTGAATGGAGAGGAGAAGGTAGAGGTGAACGCATTAAACCGATGATATAAAGTTCTTGGAAGGAGAGAAAGGCCAGCGGTGACATCTGGGAGAAGAGGAAAACGTACATCTGTTACGAAGAAAAATCATTGGGCATATCTCTAGCCAGAAGAGCGGTGACTCGTGAAGATAGAGGGCACTGGTGGGGAAACAAGATATCAAGAGTGGAAGTCGGCGTCAATTTTGTTATACAGGATGAGGAGCAGTTGTATGCTAAGAAAGGAAACAAGAGGGAGCGGATACGACACACCGTTTCCCATAAGAAGAAGATGAAGATTCTGGCGAGGATTGATATTTATAGATGGGAGGAAAAAATGACCGGCACTTGCCGATTAAGAAGCGGCGGTGGATGACGATTCAGTTCTCTGGTCTTCAACTTGACGCCATATCTCTTCTGTTGAAGTGGACATGAGAAGGATTAAGTTGACGTAATGATAAAACACGTCGGTAAATTGCGTCGATTAGGGAATGGGTTACGTGGTGCTGTTTGAAGCTTGTGAATTTGATTTTGACGGCCTCTCATAAAAATGGTCTTTATATATATATATATATATATATATATATATATATATATATATATATATATATATATATATATATATATATATATATATATATATACTAGGCGAATCCCCGCGCGTTGCGCGATAATAGAATTATATAGTTAAAATAATAACTTTTACCAAGTTATTATTTAATATTTCTACTTTGAAACAAAATGTTAGTAGTAAAGCAAACATATGGTTAACATATTAGTTTTATTAAACATTATAGTTTAATTTTTAAGTCATTGTGATATATACAATTATTTGATAATTTTATAAACCGTTTAAAATTGTGTAAATTTTATGTCAAATGAATGATAATATAACGGGTAACAAAATGTATGAACAAAAATATAAACTGCAACTTTAGTAACAGAAAAAGAAAAACATCTATTATAACATTTGTATTAAAAAAGATATATATACAACGAATTATAAAAAAAATGAAAAATAAACACGATAACTTTTAATAACATAAAAACACTAAAACATCTATTATAACATTTATATTACCTCTTCATATTAAATCACAATCACAAATCTCTTCAAATACATTAATGTTTTTAATGAGCAAAACTTTACAACCTTATAAAAGAAAGGAAAATAAAAAGTTATTAGTGATTACTAATTAATAATCATAAGTTAAAAACTCTTGAGTTGTAACTAATAAATATACATAAATTAGAAAACTCTTGAGTTGTAGTGTGAGTTTCAAATGAATGCGGTACTTGGAAATGTATATTTATTATTATTATTATTATTATTATTATTATATATTCGTCTAAATAATTGGTTTTGATGTATCATTTTAATACCTTCAATTATTAAACATAAGATATTAATTATAAATTATAACATAAATAGGTGCATATACATGTTAAACAAATCGCATATAATATATATATTTTTGTAAAAGTCATATGTAATTCTTGTTGTAGTAATATGGATAAATTACTTTCATATGAAGAACATATCAATGATAAGTCTATCATAATTACATATCAAATGTTCAAAATTATGTTATCTTTTAAATATTGTCTTTTAAATATGTTGTGTAGGATAACCCAACAAAAAAATAATAGAAAATAAACATAATCAAAATAGAAAAACTACAATCAAATAAATAAGAGCATTGGGTGGTTGAATATATAAA